CCCTTCTTTTCTGTCTGTCCGTAATCCTCCTTTCGCATGGACTAATCAATAAAAACTATATATATAGAGTAAGAAAGTGTTTAATGGCTGACATCGAAAGACGATAATCAGTTGAAGGGTATTCTCAATACTGTAAAATGTTTTCTCTGATGACATCGATATAGATTTGGGATTAGATAAATTTGCAAAAGTAACATTCAATAAAGAGAGAATAACAGAATAAAATTCAAAAGATCTTGATTTCGTCACAAAGATTAAGGAATTGGAACAAAAAGAAGCCTATAAATAACTAGGAGTCAGAGAAAGAGATGGAACACAGGAGACCCAAATGAAGGAGAAAGTAAAAAAAATACTACAGGCGTGTGTGTCTGGTATTAAATATCGAGTTGAATTCACAAACCAGAATATCAGCCATAAACTCTTTGGCTGTCCCTGTAGTGCAACACGGTTTCCACATTCTTAATTGGACCATAGCTGATGTTAAGCGAATAGATGTCAAAACGAGAAAGCTTCTCACTTATCACCGCATGTATCATCCTAAAGTTGATCATCTGTATGTGCCTAGATCCGAAGGAGCCAGAGGATTAGTTCAACTAGAACTGCCTTTACAAAACAACAACAATAGACCTTCAATGATATCTAGAAACTATAGAAGACTGGATGATGATCTTTTTATTTATTTTTTTTTAATCGTTTCACCCCAAGCAAGGCGGGAAGCCACTATCACGCCAGGGTTTACAGAGAACTGAAGCGAGAGAAAATAGGAGTGATAAAGGAAAGGATGAAGAGAAGGATAGGGGATAGATCAAGGTATCTGGAGACGTCGATTGACATTACATTTGAATATTTGGAGATTATAGCTATCAGGGAAACAGGAAAAGGGGAGGGAGTTCCACAGGGGAGAAGTGCGAGACATGAAGCTATTGGAGTAGAAGAGACGGCTACATTTAACAGTTTTGTGAGTGAAAGGGTGAGAGCGAGATGCCAGCCTAGTTGAACGCTTAAATTCATGAAGTCTGGGAACCAGCGAAAGCAGCTCATCGGAGCAGTTACCATGAAAGTATTTGTAAAAAATACAGAGAAAGGCGACGTCACGGTTGTGAGATAGTGACTGCAGACGAGATGCCAAATCAGGGCCAATTACATTGCATATTCGTGTCTGGATTTTATCAAGGACCTTGAGAGAGACAGAAGGGGCTCCAGACCATATATGGTAGCAATACTCCATGCAAGGGTGAATGGTTGATTTGTAGGATCGACTCCGGCGACAAAAATTTCCTGGCGCGGCACAGGGAGCCAACTTTCGTTGCAGTGGACAAAGCAATTGACTCAATGTATTTGTTCCATCTCAGGTCAGCAGTCAATGTGAGACCGAGCAGTCGCAAAGAGGTGCTCTCGTGGAGTTGAGCGTCAGACATTCTAACGGGTGGGGGCAGGGATGGTTCTCTGTGGTGAGTAATAGAGAGCAGTTTTGTTTTTGAGGCATTAAAGTTAAACAACCAATTTCTACCCCAGTTCACAACCGATTGGAGATCCTTTTCGAGACAAACGGCCGGGTTAGTTTTGTCGGCGAAACTAGATTTGTTTTTGAGGCAGGAGTAAATAGTGGTGTCGTCCGCGTAGATACCTACTTGGGAACTTATGACGTCAGAAAGATCTATGTCAAAGAACATGAAAGAAATAAAAAAAAAACCTTATTTCGTAATAAATGAATTTAACAAATTCAAAGGAGAATTTCAAGTGGATGAAGAAGTGCAAATACATCATAATACGCTTACTGTAGCGGGAAAAGAAGCTAAAAAAAGAAAGAAACAAATGCAATGCACCAAATACAGAAACGATAGCAATAAAAGCCTCCGCATGGTCAATACACTGCCCATATCAAACAAGCTGTCGTAAACAAAGACCGTATATATCAGTGCTAAGTCGTGCAGGTTCAAAAACGGAAACCTGAACAGGACCAATGCTTGCTAATGAGAAATTACCAAGTACACATACTGAAAAATTGTGTTAACCCGAAATGCAGAAGTCTATTATGCGTTGTTTTCATCTGTCCCTCTTGACTTCCATCTGTCCTGTGAGTATCAGATTTTCCAAACACTCTTTCCACATTATGTGCCACAGAAATTTCATCTGCTCTTCTTGATGTTAAGTATAAGTGTCATTTAAGTTTCTATTTTCTCAAAAACTTCATCATTGCTCACATGTTCGACTCATGGTATTCTCTCTTCCCGATGTTAAGTATAAGTGTCATTTTTGTTTCCATTTTCTCTAAAACTTCGTCGTTGTTCTCTTGTTCCGTCCATGGTATTCTCAGCATGCTTCTGTAGAACAACATTTCAGTTGATTCAAGTCTCTTCTTCATGTTTGATCCATGGCATTCTCTCTTCCCAATGTTAAGTATAAGTGTCCTTTTTTGTTTACTTTTTCTCTAAAACTTCGTCGTTGCTCCCATGTTCGGTCCATAATATTCTCAGCATGCTTCTGTAGAACCACATTTATGCTGCTTCAAGTCTCTTCTTCATGTTCCATCCATGGTATTCTCTCTTCCCGATGTTAAGTATAAGTGTCCTTTTTTGTTTACTTTTTCTCTAAAACTTTGTCATTCGGTCCATGGTATTCTCAGCATGCTTCTGTAGAGCCATATTTCTGTTTCTTCAAGTCTCTTCTTCATGTTCCATCCATGGCATTCTCTCTTCCTGATGTTAAGTATAAGTGTCCTTTTTGTTTCCATTTTCTCTAAAACATCGTCGTTGCTCACATGTTCGATCCATGGTATTCTCAGCATGCTTCTGTAGAGCCATATTTCTGTTTCTTCAAGTCTCTTCTTCATGTTCCATCCATGGCATTCTCTCTTCCTGATGTTAAGTATAAGTGTCCTTTTTGTTTCCATTTTCTCTAAAACATCGTCGTTGCTCACATGTTCGGTCCATGGTATTCTCAGCATGCTTCTGTAGAGCCATATTTCTGTTTCTTCAAGTCTCTTCTTCATGTCCCATCCATGGCATTCTCTCTTCCTGATGTTAAGTATAAGTGTCCTTTTTGTTTCCATTTTCTCTAAAACATCGTCGTTGCTCACAAGTTCGATCCATGGTATTCTCAGCATGCTTCTGTAGAACCACATTTCTTTTGCTTTCACCTTTGAGGAGATTATCCAACATTCACTTCAGTATAAGAAAACAGATATGACGTAGCAGTTCAGTACTTTTTCTCTGTTTTTAACGAAGAATTCTGTGTCTTAATACTTTGCCTGGCTTTTTTAAAAACCTACAATCTTCAACAATCTAAATGCAACGTCAATCACCATCTTCTCTCTTCTTAAATCCAGATACTTTTGTTTTCTCCTCACCTAAAGTCTTCTCATTCAGGTTCATTCCCTTTCGTCTCAGTAGACCTATCGCCTAGCTTGGAGTGAATCGATTTACAAAAACAGGGGTCGTAGGTCTAAAATGTTGGTAGATCTCTGTACTAAGTTTCTGTGTGCATGCAGCTAATAACCAAGATTTCAAAAGTTTAATCTATGAAATATTGTTATTACACTACAATCCCAAAGGTCTTATATTGTATTTGTTCTTTGATGACAAATTATTTAGTAATGATTTTATACTAACCAACCAATTAAAATCCGAAGCGATAAACACCCTGTTTGGTTTAACATCAAGTTAGTTATTACATCATAATTGCGCATGTCTCTCTCTTCATGATTTCGAACGATTGTTACGCCTTGCCAATACCTCATGAATAATGGACTATTCCGTTTTCACTGCGTGGAAAAAGGAAGAAAGTCACTACTTGGTTTTAGTGAGAAAATGAAATAAAGTAAGAAAAAAATGAGATGATGTAAGTGTTCAACGTCTCCAGCCAATACATCATAAATAATGGACTATTCCGATTTTGCTTGCGTGGAGAAACAAAAAAACATATCGAAGACGCTACTTGGTTTCAGTGAGAAAAAGAATGAAAGAAAGAAAAAAAGAAAGGAAGAAAGGAAAAAGAAAGAAAGAATGAAAGGAAAATAGAAGTGTTCAACGTCTCCCGCCAATACCTCATAAATAATGGACTAGTCCATTTTGATTGCGTGGAAAAACAAAGCACATATCGAAGACGCTACTTGGTTTCAGTGAGAAAATGAAATAAAGAAAGGAAATAGAATAAAAAGAACGAAAGAAAGAAAAAAGAATAAAAAAAAGAAAGAATAAAGGGAAGATATAAGTGTTTAACATCTGCCAATACCTCATAAATAATGGACTATTCCGTTTTTCATTGCGTGGAAAAACAAAACACATATAAGAAACGCTACTAGATTTCAGTGAGAGAAAGAAAGAAAGAAAGAAAGAAAGAAAGAAAGAAAGAAAGAAAGAAAGAAAGAAAGAAAGAAAGAAGAGTTTAAAGTCTCTTGTCAATACCTCATAAATAATGGACTTTTCCTTTTTAGATCGCGTGGAAAAACAAAACACATATAAGAGACGCTACTGGATTTCAGTTAGAAAAAGAAAGAAAGAAAGAAAGAAAGAACGAAAGAAAGAAAGAAAGAAAGAAAGAAAGAAAGAAAGAAAGAAGTAAGTGCTTAACGTCTCCTGCCAATACCTCATAAATAATGGACTATTCCGTTTTTGATTGCGTGGAAAAACAAAACACATATAAGAGACGCTACTTGATTGCAGTGAGAAAAAGAAAGAAAGAAAGAAAGTAAGAAAGAAACAAAGAAAGAAAGAAAGAAAGAATGAAAGAAAGAAAAAAATAATGAAGGAAAGTAAGAAAGAAAGAAGTGCTTAACGTCTCTTGCCAATACCTCATAAATAATGGACTATTCCGTTTTTTGATTGCGTGGAAAAACAAAACATATCAATGCCGATACTTGGTTTCAGTGACAAAATGAATGAAAGAAAGAAAAGATAGGAGTTTTAACTGCTGTTCTAGTGAAATGGGAAAAAGTTGTCAATTTCAAATCTGTTCATTTGTACCCCCTTACTTCTTAAAATAACGACCAGCATTCATATTTATGGTTGTGATTACAATATTTTGTTAAAGTTGTTAAGCTGAAATGTTTAACGATGCGATAGGGGGTCTTTCTACGTATATTGCCATAGAACTCTCCATGAGCTTATTCAATCATTAACGGAAGAATTAAGATTCTTCAAAAAATTCAAATAGGAAAACCGTGACATTTTCACGGGTCTTTCTCGTTACCATTGTTATTATTATTGATTCGAAACCGTGAAAATTGTGATGCCATGTGATGATAGAAACAATGAATCTGTTGTACTGCCATTTCTTATTTTGTATGGTGTCGCTTACGGACATATATTTACTTGTGGTATTAATCAGCAAATATATTTTCTATATCTGCTTGTATCGAATGAGTCATTGATCCCATCTGCTGTACAAAATAATCTTTCCTTTCTAATGCATTTTCTCCTGAATCAGTTAGGTTTTAACCCATTGCTTTTTCTTCCAAAGACACGAGGTTCAGCGGGTCGATATCAGCTGCTGGATTTCTGAATTACACTTCTAATCTTTTGATGGTGCTGGGCATAGTATCTAAACATTATGGATTTATTTCTCTCGCTTTGTATAGGTTCACCTATCGTACGGTTGAAACTTCTCCCCGGTACTTTGAACATGCGTAGAGGTGTATAAATTTTTTTTTTCCTGTTTAGGATTGCGGTTCCGGTTCCTTCCAAAGACTACTTCAAACTATATACCTGTAACGGCTCCACTGAAACCCTGAAATTTTATTTACCATTTACTTAAATTTTTTTTGACCAATTCGAGTTCATAGGTTCGCCTATTGTCCAGTAACAGCAAAATTGTCCAAATCGTGTAAGAACAAAATTGTCCAATTGTTAGTTTAGGCTCTGAACCGTTGTATTTTATAAATGATTAAAGATACCCAACTGGAATTCTCTGAGGTATTAATAACAGTATTGGATTCTACTTTGAACAATAAGAAGGTATAATTACACTCTAAGCTTAACAGAACTATTTTGTTGAAATGGATCAAAACGAAAATTATATGTTTAATCATAGCTAAGGATCGAAAGCTAATGAGGTATAGAAATAGAAATAATATATATATATATATATATATATATATATATATATATACATTATTCCAGTATCATTTTCTAACTTATTCAAGATGATCTTCGCCCTCTCTAACCTAACTTTCTGTCCGGGAGTAACAAGGTGTCTCACAAGTTTCACGTACGATTTCATATTCATGTTTTTTTTTTACTGCTCTTGAGACTGTCATAGCTGAAACTCCTCTCTTATATGCCAAACGTCTTATGAATTGAGTTGGGTCTTTTCTAATGGATCTCTTTAGCTCTAGGTTGAAATGATGATCCCACTGCTTGTTCTGACCTCCTGATTCAATTTCCCCGTTTTTAAAACTTATTCACCGTTCTCTTGATGGTTCTTGAATGAACTTTGAAGATGGAAGCCAGAATATGAATGTTGGTACCATTACTGAAAGCCTGAATGATCTTTTTCCTCTCACTATTGCTCAGTTGGGAAGACAGTGGCTCTGACACAAAACAATTTTAAACTGCTCTCTTTTCAGCTGAATAACTCAACGGATTTTTTAGTGATTCATAAGGAAAGTGGTGTCAAGATGGCTAAACGTCTTGTCTGAAAGTGCTTTGTTTTTTTTTGGTGGAGGGGGACAATTTTATTATTACACCCTGTATATATATATATATATATATAAGTAAAAGACGGGACACCTTGAGGTGGTGTAATGGTTAGCAAACTTGTCTCGCTAGAACAATTACGACTGAGAAGGGATTTCGATCCTCACTGGGTGCCCCCATATTTTCAGCCTTGTGCCACATCTGAGCTACGCTTGGAAAATCACTGCAAGTAAAAGACAAGGACTGTGTTTCGACACAATGTTGTTTCATTCCTTGAAAAACTTCTGTAAAAATTCTACTTAATAATTTCGTATTTATCCAGAGAAGAAACATGGAGAAAATTACTGTTTAAATTTTGAATTAAAGAACACGCTAAAACATTTTAAAAATCAGTGTACAAGCAACGTACCCTAATTCCCCGTGTATAATAAGCCTTCATCCATAATACGCATGACTAAAATTGTGCTGAAAGTGTGAGAAAATTGTTCTACCCGCGCGTAATACGTACCCTTTGGTAATCAAACCCTATAAAATATACCTTTCCAATCACATTACGGCTAGCGTTTCCTACTCTTATTCGATCTGTAATTGAAGATATTTAGCAAAATTTCCAATCGTTACGATTCTGAAAGGAAACGGAAATACCTATATTGTGCCTACTGCGCAGAATCATGTTTTTGTTCGATAAAATGAACAATCTACCGGACCTGTATGTAGATTTTTTACCCAAAAATAGTTTTAAACCTAAAATAATGTTATTCTAATTTAGTTTTATGATAATTCTTATTTTATTTTACATTTGTAAGTATTGTTAGGTACATATGATTGTATTTGACATCCTTATGGGGTCGCAATCGCCGAAAGTTAGTGTAAAATTGTTGTATGTTTGTGAATAGTCATTTCGCTATTGAAATCAGCCTATGAAACGGCAATTTTTTTGTAGCTGTGCATAATACGCACCTTTTATTTTGCTTATTATTTTTTTTTAGAAAAATGCGTATTATACATGGAGAAATCATGGAGTACTCTATGTGATGTAATCTTTCGTCCTATTAAATGAAAGTGAATTAATGTTGCTGTTGTTGTTATTGATTTTTTTCAAGTAATAATTATTTATTTATTTTTATTTATTTTATTTTAATTATTTTTTTAAAATTAATTCATAATGATCATGAGTCAACCGTTTTCTTTTAAATGTTTAGTGGCACGCATAAGCATGTTGGCTTGACAATGGAGGAAATCGTTTAAGAAAGGAGATATTTAGAAACATCCAGGACGTAAGTTAATAATTTGACGAAAGTCAATAATTGCACTTTCAGGAACTTTTCGGTTGGATCAAGTTATTTTCTCTTTCAATACGTAGAACACTTTTGAGAGCGAAATTCCACTTGAAAGAGAAAATGAGACAAAAAAAAGAGAGGCTGAGATAGTGAGAATATGAAGGAAAGGGATGAAGGGAAAGAAAGATATGAAGACAAAGGATGGTTGAAAGAAAAACAAAGAATTGCAAAAAATTGAAAATGGAAAAGAGAAATAGAAAGTAAAAGCGATTGAGAGAAAAAGAAAGTAGGAGTGAAAACGTGGGAGGAAAGATAGAGAGAGATAAAATGAAAGTGTGAGGGAGAAAATAGAAACAATAGAGACAGAGAGAAATAGAAAGCGTAACCACACGAGACAGAGAGAGAGAGAGAGAGTGAGAGAGAGAGTGAGAGAGAGAGAGAGAAGAGAGGGGGAAATGGATCTAGAGAATGATAGCTAGCTAGCTAGATAGATATATACATATGAAGATAGATAGATAGATAGATAGATATGTAAAACTGAGATAGATATATATGAACAAACTGAGATAGATAGATAGATAGATATGAACAAACTGAGATAGATAGATAGATAGATAGATATGAACCTAGATAGACAGATATGAGGAAACTGAGATAGATAGATAGATAGATAGATAGATAGATAGATAGATAGATAGATAGATAGATAGATATGAGGAAACTGAGATAGATAGATAGATAGATATGAGGAAATTGAGATAGATAGATAGATAGATAGATAGATATGTAAAACTGAGATAGATAGATATGAACAAACTGAGATAGATAGATAGATAGATAGATAGATAGATAGGAACAAACTGAGATATATAGATATGAACCTAGATAGACAGATATGAGGAAACTGAGATAGATAGATAGATAGATATGAGGAAACTGAGATAGATAGATAGATAGATAGATAGGTATGAACAGAATGAGATAGATAGATAGATAGATAGATAGATAGATAGATAGATGGATATGAACAAACTGAGATAGATATAGATGGATGGATGGATGGATGGATAGACAGATATGTGGACAAACTGAGATATATAGATGAACCTAGATAGACAGATGTGAGGAAACTGGGATAGATAGATGGATAGATAGATGTGGGAAACTGGGATAGATAGATGGATGGATGGATAGATAGATGAACAGAGATGGATAGATGGAGGGAGATGGATGGATGGAGAGGAAGTTGGGATAGATGATAGATGGAAGATAGATAGATAGATGGATGGATAGATAGATAGATAGATATGAACAGAATGGGATAGATGGATGGATGGATGGATGGATAGATAGATAGATAGATGGATGAGGGAAACTGGGATGGATGGATGGATATGAGGAAATTGGGATAGATGGATGGATAGATGGATATGTAAAACTGAGATAGATAGATATGAACAAACTGGGATGGATAGATGGATGGATAGATAGATGGGAACAAACTGGGATATATAGATATGAACCTGGATAGACAGATATGAGGAAACTGAGATAGATAGATGGATGGATGTGAGGAAACTGGGATAGATGGATGGATAGATGGATAGATAGATAGGTATGAACAGAATGAGATGGATGGATAGATGGATGGATGGATGGATAGATAGATAGATAGATGGATGTGAACAAACTGGGGATAGATAGATAGATGGATAGATAGATGTGAACAAACTGAGATATATAGATGTGAACCTAGATAGACAGATGTGAGGAAACTGGGATGGATGGATGGATGTGAGGAAACTGAGATAGATGGATAGATAGATAGATGGGGTATGAACAGAATGAGATAGATAGATGGATGGATAGATGGATGGGGAGAGAGAAGTTGGGATGGATATGGATGAAGAATAGATAGATAGATAGATGGATAGATATGGACAGAATGGGATAGATGGATGGATGGATGGAGATGGATGGAGATGGATGGATAGATATAAACAGAATGAGATGGATGGATAGATAGATGGATAGATAGATAGATAGATGGATAGATAGGATAGATAGATAGATAGAATAGATAGATAGATAGATAGATAGATAATAGATAGATGAAAGGTATGAATTAAGAATGAATTATATACAGAAGCAAAACGAATGATTGAGAAAGACAGAAAAGTTGCAAGGGGAGGAGCAAGAACTAAAGAAAGAAGGGTAAAAGAAAGTGATAGTGCGAGAGAGAGAGGGGTAGAGAGAGAGGGAGAGAGAAATATATAACGAAATAAATAATAGGTGACTGAGTAAGAAAATAGAAGTAAACACAAAAAGAAAAAAAAAAGTCCCTAGAATCCAACGGATTTTCTCTGATCTCGGCTTTTTCCGTGAAAAGAACATGTTGATCACGCTGCAATAAATTCAGAATGATATTAATCAAATTCACTGGGGAGATTGCAATAATCCGATGTCGGATCAAATAAAACAAGAGACAGAGGACTGTGTGTGTCACTTGGCAGGGCAGGGTTCATATATTGGTAGGAACAGGAATCAAAGAAGCTCGTCAATAATATTGCAGGTATTGTGAAACTAAGTGACATCGACGGATTAGGTCGGACTGTTTGAGACACGGTGGTGAATTGCGGTCATTTTTCCATGACACGCTTTAGATCAGCCATTGCTTTATTAAGGATATATGCCATTATCTATCTATCTATCTATCTATCTATCTATCTATCTATCTATCTATCTATCTCATTCTGTTCATATCATATCTATCTATCTTAGTCCATTTATATTTATCTAAGTTCATTTATATCTATCGATTAATTCAAGTCTGTTCATTTTCATCTATCTATCTATCTATCTATCTATCTATCTATCTATCTATCTATCTATCTATCTATCTATCTTGATCACTTCATATCTATCTATCTATCTATCTATCTATCTATCTATCTATCTTAGTCTATTTATATTTATCTAAGTTCATTTATATCTATCGATTAATTCAAGTCTGTTCATTTTCATCTATCTATCTATCTATATCATCTATCTATCTATCTATCTATCTATCTATCTATCTATCTATCTTGATCACTTCCATATCTATTATCTATCTATCTATCTATATTATCTATCTATCTCATTCTGTTCATATCATATCTATCTATCTTAGTCCATTTATATTTATCTAAGTTCATTTATATATATCGATTAATTTAAGTCTGTTCATTTCTATCTATCTATCTATCTATCTATCTATCTATCTATCTATCTATCTTAGTCTATTTATATTTATCTAAGTTCATTTGTATCTATCGATTAATTCAAGTCTGTTCATTTTCATCTATCTATCTATCTATCTATCTATCTATCTGTCTATCTATCTATCTATCTTGATCACTTCATATCTATCTCTCTATCTATCTATCTATCTATCTATCTATCTTAGTCTATTTATATTTATCTATGTTCATTTATGTCAATCTATATATTGATTTAAGTCTGTTTATTTAGTTCTATCTATCTATCTATCTATCTATCTATCTTGATCACTTCATATTTTTCTTCTTGACGCGCCTCGAATTAGAATTACTGTTATGGATCAGTTACGTTCTAGATTTGTAAAAGATCAAAGTCATCGGACATAAATCTATGATGTCTGTCATCGATGATTCTGGCGAATTGATCTCACGTCAGTTTTAATCTTTGATCGATAGTTTTGCGATCAGCTCCTGTAATATTTCTCGTCGTTCGTTGGGCTTGCTATTTATTTTTCATCAATTCACCCTAGTTAAAGCAATAATGCCACTAAGACGCAAAATGGTGACCGGACGTGAGAGGGCATTAAATGACTTTAGAATGAATCGGAAACCCAATACTAACATGGAAAAATATTCCACCCTAACGATCTCATTTTCTAATATTTTCTTTTGTTGTTGTTGTTGTTGTTTTGCCGAATGTGCTTGTTTTGTTTCCTACTCCTGTTCAAAAACCTGACAGGAATATCAACTCGATGATAAGCGAACCTATCTATTCTTATCAGGCGAAACTATCTACTCATATCAGGCGAACCTATCTACTCATATCAAACGGAAATATCTGCTCATATAAGGCGACCCTATCTACTCATATAAGGCGACCCTATCTACTCATATAAGGCGAAACTATCTACCCATATAAGGAGAACCTATCTACTCATATAAGGCGAAATTTTCTACTCATAAGGCGAGCTTATCTTCATATAAGGCGAACCTATGTACTCATATAAGGCCAAACTATCTACTCGTATCACGAAAACCTATCTATTCATATAATGCAGGATTAGCTACTCATATAAGGCAAACCTATGTACTCATATAAGGCCAAACTATCTACTCGTATCAGGAAAACCTATCTATTCATATAATGCAGGATTAGCTGCTCATATAAGGCGAACCTATGTACTCATATAAGGCCAAACTATCTACTCGTATCAGGAAAACCTATCTATTCATATAATGCAGAATTATCTACTCATATAAGGCGAGCCGATCTACTCCTATTAAAACTATTTTGCAACTTGATCCAACTTCAAGACTGACTTAAACTCTAAAGTATCCACATTTCTATGTTCTGTTTTGATAGTGAAAACTTATTATTCGTCCCGCGGTAAAAATAACCTTTTAGATTAAATTGTTGGTTCATTTAATATCGGGGTATGTGAATTGTGAGTTCAGTTCCTGGGCCGGGTAGTATCGACTTAAGCTCATTGGAAACAGAGAGGGCCTTATGTGAGCAGTAACACACCGAACACGACGAGATAATAAATACGTCAAACATTGCTAAGAGCTATGAAGCTGTGGGAAGCCATGGATAGCCCCGATTGCTTACATTCTGATGATACACAGAACATAGAAGAAGCTGTGTTATATAAATAAAAGTTTATATCGCGCGAGTTTTAACCATTCAAAACGACTTCCTTTGATTTCATGTATCTGACCACAAAGGTCAAAATTAGGAAGTCACTGAAGAACTACAATTCTCTAAAAACTAATAGTCTGCTTAACTATTAGTTAACACTCTCACGACGACCTTAATTAATAAAGTTCAGAGTTGGAGAAACAATTAGTTCACTTTTGAAATAAATTATATCGTGTTCTTCTTAGTTTTTACAACGAGGTTTACAGTTTCATACAATTTGAAAAAGCGGCTTTTTTTATTAAATTTTTTAACTAAAATTGATAAAAGTCTGAAATAAAAAAAAATTAGAAAGAAGAAAAGATTCATTAATTTTGCGGCCTCAGCCGAGATTGAACTCACTACACCTTTCCAGTATTCCTTATCTGTCATAGCTTATACTTTGATTGGTGTAGTTTGTAATCTTGTCAAATAGCTGAATTCTAGATGCTTCGATCGGGCTATCAAGGGTGTTTTTATTGTGACACCATCACTAAATAGATTGCCAACCAAGGCTCAGAGAGACTCCATTCACCCTCCGCAGGTTTTGAATTCAGAGTTTTCTTTCTTCTAGACCAGTTGCCATCCAAGGCTATAGAACCAAGTATGTCCTGCTATTTACCCATAGCTGGCGGGGGGGAGAAGAAGAGGATTCACACCTTTCACGTAAGTGAATGTAATGGATTCGACTGGAATTCGAACTCGGCTCTCCCTCCGATTCCTCAATCCAAGCCGCTAACCATTACTCCACCGTGCCTCCTAAGAAAAGATAGGTGACGTCATACATTAAAAATATGTCTTGAAAGGTAGAAAAGGAAAAAAATATCAGGGAATTTAAATATAATTGTATAAATAAGATACAAGAAGCAAATGAAAAAGAAAAAGAAATAACGGGAGAAAAAAATAGGATGAAAATAAAAGAAAGAGTAAGAGATTAAAGAGAAATCTCGGAGAAGAAAAAGAAGAAAGAAAAAAACACGGATGAAGAAAGAGAAGATTAAAAACGTGATTGGAGGAAGAAAAGAAGTAAAAGAAAGAGGTAAAAACGAAATAACGACAAAAGAAAAGAGGAAGGAGAAGATGCAAATAATATTGGCGGATGGGCCATAAGGTTTGAATGCCTGCGCCATTGTTTTTGTTGTCAGATTGAGTGTAAACTGATCTTGAATCTGTCTTTTGAAAAGTCTCGTGACTGATTGGTTTCCAAGAAGGAAATAAGAGCATCAAAGGAAATACGCCGAGAAAATGAAAGTGAAAGTGAAAGTAGGAAATGTGAAACACGAGGTTGAATAAAATTAGGTCAGCTGTTTGGATGAGGAGGAAGCAGAAAAGGAAGAGAAGGTGATAGATAGCGGGTTGACGAAAAAAAAGGGACTATGTACAGTAGAAATAAGAATGGCATAGTAATAATATGGTTGGGAATCTTAAAAGGTGGTATTGTATGAGTGTTCGGGGAGTGAAACGTTGGAAATGGCTTGAGTTAAATTAGGAATAAACATGGTGTTAATGGTGATTTTGCTTGTGACACATAGACCAGAAATGAGGATGCTAATTTTAATCATCATATCAGTAATTATTAAATAACTATTACTGGTTTGACGAGATACCGCCACGCTGAAAATAAATAAATGCGTTGTTTGAACTTAAATGGTTTGATTTGAAATACATTAGCCTAAGGTTAATCCGAATTAAAAGAAAAACTAATTTCCCTATGTAAATAGAGATTTTAGTTTTTTTTTTAAAACATTGGCACGTTCATTCGTCACTGATCGACTCAGCGAACCGGCATTAAAATTTTAAATAACAAACTTAAAAATCTCTTAAAATCGAATATTTATCCAAACGATGTGTTTTGAAGTCAGTTGGTCAATGTAAGATTTAATCAACTGGATGTTGTAAATGTAATGCTTACTTTTCTTTAAAATATAATGAAAATGACGTCTATTTACGCACGGTAGCTTGTGAGGTCAGATGTCAGGAACTGTGATTTTCTCTTTCAATCCCTCTCTTAAAAAGCGCAAGGAAAAATTACAAATAATTATATTAATTACGGAAGGCCAGCAGTGCAATAATTAAGAAATTGGTATTTACGTTTTTAAATGAATTATCTTTAACCTTGTATAGTGGCTTTTTTAGTTTACTTTTTAACTTAATTAATCAGTTATGTGCCATGCGTGATACACGCTTAGGCGATCATGTATCTTTCGATACATGACTGACGAGGCAGATTTTTTTGCCCGCAGTAGGTTGTCATTTCTTTCTGCGGTAGACCAGTTGCCATCCAAGGCTATAGAACCCGGTCTGTCCTACTATTTATCCATAGTTGGGGAGAGAAGAAGAGGATTCCTGCCTTTCCTAAGGGTATTAGCACGGAAGTGAATGTAATGGATTCGAGTGGAAAGTCAGTCAGTCATTTATGTGCCATACGTGATACACGCTTAGGCGATCATGTATCTTTC